AGAAGCAAATTAAATTTGAAAAAATCCTTCTGCCATTTGCGTACATAGTAAACAATAATTCCAAACCAAACCGAATTAAAAAATACTATAAACTTAGAAAGCACGAAAGACAAGAATATCCTTAATCCTGAAACATTGTGGAGATTTAAGTCGAATTTACTGCTCTCTGCAGCGCGAGACGTAGCAAATAAGAAATCCGGAGTTTTTTTTTTTTCTGAAGAAAAAATCTCGGCAAGGATTTTAATCCCGCTTCGGTTCGTTATTAGCCTTCTTCCAGTTTTAAAGTCAAGTGTGGCACTTAGAGATAAAACTTTTAGTTTATCATCATCCTCTTTAACGATAGTCAATTAAGTGACATCGGATTTTTATGGACACAGTCAAGTATTTTAGGATTATAACCATATTTTTTGGTGTGGGATTTTTCAGTTATTGAATGTGTGAAATAATGTAGGTATTTTATATAAAGCAAAAGAAAAAAACTAACCCAGACAATAATAATTTTAAGTTGCAAAGCACGAAACTATCAACATGCCACTAAAGAGAACAATAAATTTGTTTTAGTATGTAGTAAGGTAAAGACGTTGAAAGTGAAATTGAAGAAAAAAAGTCGGGTTATTGTTTTAGCCACCGTCATAAATGCGTTTATGTGCCTACACGAGGACTTGATTAGGAATATTAATGAGTGAAGGTTATTTTATTTCTCGGTGCATCAGGTGAATGGGATATATGGACTTTTGAAAAGTGAGTTTGCGTTATAGGAATTCCCGGCATAAATGAAGAAAATTCAAAAGTTTGGAATAGAAAAATTATGTCCTACTTGTTTATCATTTTTTTCGATTTTTTTCTCAACTCTGTTCTCTTCATTTCTCATCTATTCCCGGCTCTTATATACTTTTGTTTCCTCCAAATTTCTCTGAATAAGGAAAATTAGAAGCTCTACTTGTCTATCAATTTCCTCTTACTTCTTCTCGACTTTCTCTTCTAAATTTCTCAAAAATATTTTTCTATTCCCAGCTCATGTATTTTTCAAAAATTGCTCTATAGCTCAACTTTATGTTTGGTAGGTAATTAAGATTTTGTATGCTATTCCAGATAAATTTCAGTTCTTCTTCTTCAACCGGTTATCATCCATCATCAATCTATGGAAAAATGCAAGTCTCCTGTGATAAGCTTAAAGTCATCGATCGGTCAAAATCATTTTTTTTTTATATTTGTAGCTCAACCTGAACTCTAGAATATGTATAGTCTTCAAACTTCAAATCAAATTTGAGAGTTTGTAATGAGGTTTGTACCTTCTCGATATTCGGATCTCTGGTGGGTCTAAAATGAACTTGGGCTCAAGACGGAAGCACATTTTCACGCTTCTTCAGTGGAATTTTAGCTGTAGGTACCGTCGTCTAAAAATGCTTTGAAAATCAATCTAGCTCATTTTTAAACTTTAATGAGTTTGATGAAAAATGAGCTATCCAGCTCAACCTATGCTACTTTAAAACAAATTTAGATACTTGGGAGTCTCTAATGAGATTTATACGTTTTTCCGTCTCTACGAGGGTCAAAAATGAGCTAGGGCTCAAGACGAGAGCTACTCTAGCTCAATTTCAACTGAAAAATGGTCAGAAATTGAAGTGCTTTGCTTCTTTACTTTAATTTAAGATACAGAATTTTCACGCTTCGTCAATGGAATTTTAGCTCTACACCTTGTCGAAAAATGCTTTGAAAATGTGTAGCTCAACTTTAATAAACTTGGTAAAAAATGAGCTATCCAGCTCAACTTTTGTTACTTTAAATGCAATTTAGCTATATGAGAGTTTGTACGTTTCTTCATTGGAATCTCTACGAGAACGAAAATGGGTTAAGACGAGAGCTACTCTAGCTCAAATTTAACTGAAAAATGGCCAGGAATTGAAGTGTTTTGCTTCTTTAGTTCAATTTAAAATACAGGATTTTTACGCTTCTTCAGTGGAATTTTAGCTCTACAGTGGTAACCTTTTAATCAGTGTAGCTCAAACTCAAGGTATTTATAGCTGAATTTGATTTAAAGTAGCATAGGTTAAGCTTGATAGGTAGCCCATTTTTCACCAAGCTCATTAAAGTTCAAAGTTCAGCTCATCACGATGATGATGATGATGATTAGCTGAACTTCAAATGTAATGAGATTTGTACGTTTCGTCATTCGAATCACTACGAGGTATATAGTACCTTATTAATTTCAAATTTGAATCTCCCGCCGGCTTACCAAATTACAGTTTTCTTCAATCCCGGTTACTTGGGGAACGCAAATTTGCAATAAAAAATAATTGAAAGAAATTACAGATAAAACCAACTGAACCGACACCCGATGGCCGGTAACTATTTTGACATTTGGTTAACCAGATTTCAGGAAACCGAGGTCCAAAAGTAAATAATAACCATTTTTCCAGGAACCAGAGTAATTTGATTACTTTCGGACCGCGGAACCACAACCCTGTTTATATTCAGACCACAGCCTAGTATAGGCATAGGAAATTATGGTTATGTTTTATGTAAAAAAGTCCTGAATTATTCTTGAGTAGAAATTATAATTAAAAGGAAACTAAACGACGAATCCGAGTTAAAAATTATCATCATAGTATTTTATTGTGATTTTTTCATTCTATACCCTACAGAGGCCGAGTTCGTTTTTGTCATCTTTTCCGTCGATTTGCTCCGAAATTTTGACAGGCACGTGACTGGATAAGACAGTTTCAAGTTACAAATCACGTGCCTGTCAAAATTTCGGAGGAAATCGACGAAAAATATGACAAAAACGAACTCGGCCAGAGGGTAAAAAATGGACTAAGGCTCAAGACGCTGTCAAACTGTCAATCAACCGCTGCCATGTAGCAGGCGCGTTGTGCAGACCGAACGGCATTCTTCGAAATTGGAACAAACCGCGACTACAAAGAAATGCTGTCAGAAGCTTAGAGTCTTCATCGATGAGTACCTGCCAATAGGCGCCTTTAATATCAAGACTCGATACGTACTTTGGATCTTTAAGTTTATCTATAGTTTTAGAAACGAGTGGTAAAGGGTAGCTATCTCGCTCTGTGACGTTATTGAGCCGCCTGTAGTCAACGCAAAATCGATATTTAGCCTGTATTCTTTTTCTGAACAAGCACTACTGGTGATGCCCAAGGACTCTGACTAGGTTCTATTATGCCTGAACTCAGCATATCGTCGATTTCGGTGTCAATAAGTTTCTGAGTTACGGAACAGACTCTGTAGGGGAGTTGACGAACTGGTGGTGACGAAGGTTTCAGCTATCGAATCGTCTTCGAAGGGAGTAAGAACTGTTCATTGTTCCGAATCTAAGCTACAAATTGTGTCAGGGTTAGAGGAGAACCGCCACTCATCATGACGCAAGTCTGGAACGATACCTAACAAAACCCAGAAATCTAAACCTAAAATGAGTGAGGGTGGCAACTCAGGAATCACAATTACTTCCACTCTATCTCTGACATGTATGGGGACTTCTACCACACCGATACCATATGTCGTTTGTCCATTGGCGACTGTGCCAAGTATCTGCCTCGAAGTATCTAACCGAATGTTAAGGTCTTTAATAATGTCCCAACCATGTTGGCCCAGACATTTTTAACTTAAAAATGGTCAGGAATTGAAGTGTTTTGCTTCTTCAGTTCAATTGATACAGGATTTCTATGCTTCTGTATAGTGGAATTTTAGCTCTACAGTGGTCGAAAAATAGTTAATTATTAGTGTAAATAGGCTTGGTGAAAAATGAGCTACTCAGCTCAACTTTTGCTATTTTTAATCAAATTTGGCTATATGAGAGTTTCTTATGAGATTTGTATGTTTCTCCATTCGAATCTCCACGAGGGTGAGAAATGATCTTGGGCTCAAGACGTGATAAATTGAAATGTTTTGCTTCTTTAGTTCAATCGATACAAGATTTTTATGCTTCTTTGGTGGAATTTTAGTTCTGCAGTGGTCGAAAACTGCATTGGAAATCAGTGTTGCTCAACTTCAAACTTCAAAAAGCTTGCGTGAAACATGAGCTAACCGGTTCAATCTATGCTACTTTAAGTCAAATTTAGCTATATGAGTCTACGTGGTTCTAAAATGAGCTTGGGCTCAAGACCAGAGCTACTCTAGGTCAATTACAACTGATAAAGATTGATCGGGAATTGAAGTGTTTTGCTTTTTTAGTTGAATTTAAGATGCAGGCTTTTCACGCTTCTTCAGTGGAACTTTAGCTCTACAGAGGTCGAAAAATGCTCTGGAAATCAGTGAAGCTCAACTAAGCTCGGTGAAAAATGAGCTATTTAGCTCAACCTATGCTACTTTAAATCAAATTTAGCTATATATGAAAGTTTGTAATGAGATTTGTACGTTTCCCCCTACGAAAGTCAAAAATGAGCTTGGGCACAAGACGAGAGCTACTACTCTAGCTCAATTTCAACTGAAGAATGGTCAGAAATTGAGTATTTTGCTTCGTTAGTTCAATTTAAGATACAGGATTTTCACGCTTTTCCAGTGGAATTTTAGCTCTACTGTGGTTGAAAAATGCTTGCGAAATCAGTTTAGCTCCACTTTAAACTTTAATAAGCGTGGTGAAAAATTAGCTATTCAGCTCAGCCTATGCTACTTCAAATCAAATTTGTCTATAAGCGAGTTCCTTATGAGATTTGTATGTGTCATCATTCGAAGCTCTATGAGAGTAGAAAATGAGCTTGAGGCTCAAGACGAGAGCTATTATAGCTATATAAGTTTTTATAAGTTTAGCTATATAAGAGTTTGTTATGAGATTTGTACGTTTCTCCACTCGAATCTTAACGGGGGTCAGAAATGAGCTCGGGCTCAAGACGAAAGCTCCTCTAGCTCAATTTCAACTGAAGAATGATCAGGATTTGACGTGTTTTTCTTCTTTAGTTCAATTTAAGATACAGGATTTGCACACTTCTTCAGTGGAATTGAACAGAAGTATTGTCAATATCAAAAGCAAATTTTACGCATTCAAAAACATGAGTTGGGCAAGTCAAAATGTGCCTCAAGGAGGCATGTTACACCCTGCCAAGGCTCAATACAGACCAGAGACTTATCAATTCTTGAAAGTTCCAAGTAAAGGAAAGGAAGAAAGTAAACTAACAATGATGCAAAGAAACAAAATAAATTACGCTCTAAAAAATGGAGAACCTTTACCAAGTTTATCCAGAAGAAGAAAAGGTCTGTTGAAAATACCAGGGATTACTATTCGACCAGGATCACCGATTGATCCGTAGAACCACTTAGGTATAGATAGACAGAGAAACAGCAAAAGACAAACTTGCATTTAAAATGGCTTATAATGAAAACATTTCTACTACAAAACCAAAATTGGGTACTCAAGAATAAACTTAATGAAAATGAGTGCAATAGGTTTGATCAACTTTGTGAAGAAATCAGAGAGAAGAATGACTAGAAGAAATGGAACACCTTAATGCAGCTGATAATTACAGATTGATTATTCAACAACAAATTCAAGGTAGAGTCAGAGAAATGCAAGCATTGAACTTAGAGAAATAATTTTTTCTGCTTCTGTATGCTTTTGTATAAAACGCTGATTTTGAAAAATTAAATGTCAAAATATAAAATTATTAATGCTGTTGCAATTTCCTGGCACAAATCTATACTTGCCATATTTCAAGCAATAAATGAGAATTTTAGTTCTACAGTGGTCTAAAAATGCTTTGGAAATCAGTGTAGCTCAACTTTAAACAGTGAGAAATGAGCTATTCAGCTCAACCTCGACTCTCAAGTGGTCATAGACCGGTATCATACTTCAGTTAATTTTCAACTCTAGGAGTGCCGTCCCTCTACTCGAGGGACAAAAGGGAGGTTTTCAGATCAAATTCACCTCCCGAAAATTCAGAAATAACAGTATTATACTTGTCGAGTTCAATTTTCTACTCTAAGAGAGCCGAGATTAAGATTTGTACTCAAGTCAAATTTCAACTCTACAATGAGTTATTGACCTCAATTCTACAATGAGTTATTTAGCTGAATTCAATTTTGAAATGGTCAGAATTCGGAATATTAGACTTCTCTGGTTCAATTTCTACTTTAAGAAGGTCAGCGATAGGACTCCTATAAACTCCAAAATTAACTCTTTAGCTAAACTTGAATTATAATATACCCCATTATTACACTTGTTGAATTTCATTCTTAAGGAGGGCTGGTTATACATCAGTCTGTATGCTTTTCCAGTCCAATTCTAGCTGCATGGGAATCAAAAATGAGCCGCTCTTTTCAAATTCAACTATCGAATAGTCATCAATTGCCGCTTTAAATTATCTAGGAAGCCAATGAAGATCAAAAATGAGCTGTTCAGCTCAACTTGAATTCTAGAATAGTCAGAAATCGCAGTGGCTTGAAGAACAATTCCTCAATCAGTTCCATATCTATGCAATTGTTGCAATTGAAAAATTAGTTGCTGAAATCGCTGTAGCTCAACATTAATTACAGATTTGTGAGAAATCGGTGATGATTAATGACGTCAAAGGAGGAAGAAGAGTCAGCATTGAACACCTTCCTTTAAAAAAAGTGTAAGTGAATACGGGCTCATATGTCAGTGTGTGTTGAAGTTTTGTCGAGTTGTCACCACAGGTTGTCACATTTTTTGTAATTACTTTTACTCATTATATTTCTTAATTGATAACCTGCACATCCGTTTTCTTGGCAATTCAGATACTCAGAAGATAGTTCACTAGAAGCAACACATATAGAACGTAGAAGATCCCAATCCCCTCTACATTGGCTCCCAACGTAGCGTTCTTTTAAGAATAGTGTGTTTTTCCGTTAGACTGTCTTGAAGTGTTTTTCACGCGAACTCGACACTATACAGGGTGTTTGGTACATCGATAGGAATATTTGAATGGGTGATAGTTGGAGTCATTTGGAAGCTGGTGGGACAGAAACTTAATAAAAGCAACCAAGCAGGAAAAATTGCACGGAAAACAAAGCTAAATAGACAGGTTTTGGTAAGCTTTGATGAACCCCAAAGTACCAGAAGATTCCACTCTACCTAGACCCGTATTCGTGATCTCAAGAGAACGATTGCTCTGTCTTAGTCACCCATATTGTTATTGTTAGTTAATACTGACAAAGACAGAGCAATCGTTCTCTTAAGAGAACGCTGTTCTCTGGTTACGAGAATAGGGGTCCTCACAAGCAGATGAGTCTTCAACCAATGTGTATTACCTATTATGATAGGTTATTGTCAGACTTGGATGTTCTCAAAGGATAATGTCGACAAACTATCTTAGACTCAAAGGGCCATGCAGCAAAAAATGCACAAGATACAGATAAGGAGAAACACAAGAGCGAGAATCAAGTTGGAGTCACCTAAAATGGAGTTTTGCAGGAAACCTTCCAAGAAAAAAAAACCAACAATGGACTCAGAACTGATAAAATTGGGACTTTATGCTGGGCACCAGATCAATGATGGATCTATGACTTCTGAGTTCCCTGGGAGAGAATAATTGGTAGAAGTTAAAATAACACAAAGAAGGATGATATCTAGCTGAAGCATCAGAAGAAATGGATTCGATTAGGTTCTCCGAATCTATCGCGTATTTCAAGAAAGGGTTAGAACACACTATATTTGAGATAAAGCTCAAGTTCAGATTGAACTCAGTATTGGAATGACATGGAGTTGACAAATTTCTGGATTACTCGATTTTTGCAAATTTTGCAGTGAAAACTTCTCATCCGTTCCAGCCAGATGTAAGTAGATATAAAGTTTTTGTATGAAAAAACGTCCGGCATCTCATGAAGATTCATACTGCTCAATCACGAACCAACAACAAACGAAATATTCTAAATCCGTTCCTGAACAAGCAGAAAACGTAATCATTTTCGAAACCGCGACAACACAGAGCAACATTTGCCCAGTGGTCGTGGGCTCAGTTTGACACAAATAGCATTAAGTAGTAGACAGTAATGCGAATTTATAACGCGATTGCATTCTGTCGCTGGTCGCACTGCACGAATATGGCGGCCGATGCTCTTTCAGGTTGACCGGAGTACCAATACACCCAACCTTTCTCGCTCCGTGTGCAACGAACCACTTTTAATATGCCCAAGGCCTTCCAGTAATGGACTTATTTTATATATATAAATATATATATATATATATATATATACATATATGCAATCTTAATTAATTGGGAATCAAAATGTCAACAGCACAAAATAATTGTCACACAGCAGATTTATTGTTTTAGATAATCAAAAACAAAATGTACATTATTGAGACTCAAATATATCATGCATGAAAGCACTTTAACCTCTTGGGTCGGCGAAGTGCAGCCATGCACTTAAAATCTTGCAGTATTTTCAAGTGATGACTTCATTTCGTTTTATTATATCTACGAAATGGATGTGAAATTCGCCATGACAGAACCAGTGGAGTGGAAAATGCAAAGATTAAAGATAAGATTTATGTAGTTTTGCAGGACGATGCTGGGGGATTAAAGACTATATTATTGTTTAAATTTTTTTTCTTAATTCACCCAAATGCCGCATAAAATCAGATCAACCTAAACGGTTGTTGAGTGGTTTAAATATAAATGTAAACTTTTATCGGCCGTTAAGGATTGACGAGACTTGTCCACCATTTGATGTGGGATCCTCCTGATCATAAAATGCTCGTAAAAGCTAATTTTATGATTTGTCGATTATATTTGCGAATTTAAGCAAATATCAATTGAAGTTTTCTCATTGACGATCGATATTGTTAAGAAAGTTTCCGGAAACATTCTGGACAAAGTTAGGTGTTAACTATTTACCTCTTAGTAACAATATAAGTATTGAAGCTCTTAGTTTTAGTTGGCTCTCATTGTCTCGTTCAATAAATGAGTTGTATAAAAGATAGAATAAAAGTGAATTTAAAAGACTTTGTAGTGTAAATGTTTTCTTACCAGCCATTAACTACCTTACGGGTTCACAAACATATTTAAGCACTGAATTGACTTTTGTTCTCAAAGTTCACCACTCACTCAATGTCTTCAACAGCTCTCAAGTAACTGACCATCTAAAATTTCACCCATCAACAATTCTTAACCCCTACAAAATTTTTTGCTCCATATTTTGTCAAAATATAAAACCACCGTATAAAATCTCTTCTCATCATCTCCGGTGCCCATTCCGCTTTCTTTTCTCTTTTACAATAACTTTCTTGGGAACTGTAAAATTTCTCCATGCATTTAAATGTTTTGCTTAACGTCGTTGTAAAATCCGGCACAAAAAAAATTTGAATATTTTTCATGCTAAAAACGGCAATTCGTGCATATAAAAAAGGGCCAGAAAAAATAAAAGGGAAGGGTACCCATAGCTGGATACCTTTCTTTGCCACTTAAAGGTTGAAACCGTAATTTTTTTTCAGGGTGCCGATGGGTGAAAGGGGTTTGTGGTCAATAGATATGACCTAAATTTTAGGTTAGGTGTATCATAAAACTTCTGTCGAAGGATGGTTATTGCTTAACATTTGAAACAGGTACATGGTTTTTATCCTCAATGTGTGTTCCTATAAGCAATTTTCCATTTTATGTATTTTTGACAACCCAATTTTCCCCTAAAACATATGCGGTATTGATTATGACGTTGCTCGTGCTGATGAAAAAAGTTTTGTAATAAAGACACTCCGTCTCATCCAAAAAGGGGTCGCATATGCTAGACAAATTAAATACAATCAGAGTGTGCTCGCTTGCTTATTTTTTTTCTTAACTCAAGATAATATGTTAAAAAGTATGGAAGCCACTTAAAGATGCAGGCCTTGTTAAAAAGAAGTTAAATTCCGCACGATAATAAGATGTAAATAAGAAAGGATGTGGTAATCACATTTCATCGTAAAAAGATAAGAAGAAACCTAGCAGTGCAAGAGCAATTCCAATAAAATCGAATATTTTATATTCGTGTACAGGTATCTTGGAACGACAAAATAAACTTGGCTTTTTACAACAAAGTTGCAATCGCCATCTGCCATATAAATGGACCCGTTTAGGCGGGTTTTCGATTTGGAATAAAAAGCCAAAAGCCATCAGCTGCCACTAAATAAGGACTTTATTGAGATTATTAGCATGCAACCCGGCCGCGGCCGCCAATTATAATAAAGTGGAAATTTTAATACTCGTCCGAGGATCCTGCTCTGTTGCCAGATTTTTCGTATAGGGGACATTTTGTTTTTGTTTGGCGCCAAATAAAGATGAACTCTAGATAATTTTTATGACCAAATACTTGTTAT